CCAATCCCAAACATGAGTCTGACCTCGGTGACCACAGTGGTGCTGAGTGGGACAGTGCCGAAGAGTGGTGCCGAGGGGAGGGCGACCAGTGCCTCATCATGGCAGGTTTACCCTTAGAAAGCACGGCTCCTCTGTGTGGTGCTGGTGCTGGGGACTGCAGGGCCCTGACCGCTATGAGGTCCCTGGCGGCCTCAAACCTGTCCGGGGTGGATGGAAGATCCAACTCCCTTATTTGGCCCTCCCGCTCTGGGGAGTCCAACAGGACCGGACTCAATGGACCTGCCTGTGAGGCCGGAGTCAATGGTGCTGGTTTCGCTGGAGTAGGGGCTGAGTGTCCTGGCACGGGACGCACTCCGTAGCCACCTTCGTGCTCCACTGCTCTGACTGTGGGCAAACGCCCCCTCTCAGCACTCTTCTGCTTTTTGTGCAGCTTTTTGTGTGGCGAGTGCGAGCAGTGCCGGGAAGCCACAGAGCTCATCTTGGGTATTGGAGAGTGGCGGTGCTGTGGGTCTCTAGACCCAGAGTTCTTGTTGGCACTGCAGCCTCCCTTACTGAGGCCGGTGCACTCCCCACCAAAGTGCTGGGCTTCAGGCCCAACACGGGCTCTGCCGGCTGGGGACGAAGAGCCAACTCCATAAAAAGTTTCAACCTAAAGTCCCTCTCCCTCTTGGTCCTTGGACGGATGCCCGTACAGATTTTACCTTATCATTTTGGTGGGCTTCCCCCAAGCACTTTAAGCAGGAGTCATAAGCGTCTACCCTGGGCATAGGCTTCTGGCAGAACCCGCACAGTTTGAAGCCTTGAGACCAAGACATGCCCTGGTCTCCGGGAAGGGGCAGGAGAATGTGGGGGGAATAAATCCCCAGAGAAATTTATCTAACTATCCTATACTAAGAACACTAAAGTCACTCTAATTAAACTATTTACAGGTACAACTAGGAAAGTCCACTAGGGGATTGCTTACCGTAGAAAGAGAGTGAAGAAGCAGCTCCAACGACCGTCAGAGGCGGTAAGAAGGAACTGAAGAGGCGGCAGGGACCTATATACACCATCATGAAAGCGCGACTCCAGGGGGCTCCACAGCCGACCCTATGGGTACTGCTAGGGGGAAAATCTTCCAATGACTGCATGCAGCGCGCACACACCTACTTGGAATCGACGTGAGCAAGCACTCGAAGAAGAACTATAATTCTGCTCCAATCACATTAACCCTTTGGTATATAAGCAGTCTGCATCTTCGCTGAAGCCTGAAATTAAAAGCGTGTCTAAATTTTTGCACCAGTGTGGCCAGATCGATGCAGTGTAAATCCCTAGTGCAGATAGGCTGCAAAAAAGGAGGCTTCCACCGGTAAGTCGCATCAACACAGCATATTACATTTACATTAGTGCATCTAAGAGTGGGTGGTTGGATCGGTGTAGCTATGGCAGTTCAAAAATCCCTAATGTATTCAAACCCTGAGTATTAGGCACACCCTCCCACCCCTTAGGATGGGAGAGGATGAATGAAATTGCAAACAAAAATAATTCTCTTTTATTAATCATAGTTTTGTTGTTTTGTAAGGTTTTTTTTATTTATTTTTTATTCAAAGAAAAAATGCAAGGGAAAACCTCAACATTAGGGTAAAGATAATATTAACAAAATGTCAATTTCTTGTTTGGGTTTTTTTTTTAAACTTGTTTGCACTTTTAAATATAGTTATAAGAATGTGATAGCAAAAATGTTTAAAAATAAAAATTTATGCATAAAGCTAACCAGACAATTTCAACAGGTTTCCATGTTTTCAGCAGGTTTCCACCTTTGGCTCCCAAACATACCAAAGCATCATGAAAGTTTAATATCCTCAAAATATTTGCATGGACCTGTATTTAAAATTTATTTTGGTTTAATTTTATACACTTTTCTTTTGTTATGTTATGTTATGTTAATGGGAAGCAGTGGTGGTTAAAGATTGTGCTTCTAAACAGTTAACAAGAGTGAAGTTGGTATCACAAGCAAAGTAACTCTAAAAAGCTTGTTATAATTATGTTACTAACTCTTTTGCTGAAACAAACTGTTCAGCAAGGGAAAGCAATACACTTTCTCATGGAAGATTGTGAGCATCTATTTTAGCCGTTAAGCATTACATTTAGTATAAAATATTAGTAATGCACCTCAAGTGAAAATGAATGTCTATACAACAATTGCAAAAGTATAGCTTGTGTATAAAAGACTTGTTCCCTATTACATAATAAACACTAAATTAATCTGTGTATTAAATTTGGGTTACTAAAAACAAGAGAAATGTAAAAAAAAAAAACTTTAATTATATTAACTAACTTAGGAACAAAGACACCAGAAGATATCACACCACAAAGACACCAGAAGGTATCTGTATACTGTGAAGAAATCCCCCAGCATCAAGAAAAGAAAAATGAAGTGCTGTATGAATGAGAGACTCGTCAAATACACCTTTATCTACCATATATGGACAATTAATTTAACAATTAGCTAAAAACCACTAGCTGGACCAGGATAAACTGTCATTTAATTTCAACTTGGTTACTGTGTAAAAACAACTCTATTATTGCTGTACTACTGTATTATCATTGTACTATTGCTATATTGTATCATTACTGTACAACATTTACAATGTGCATAACCTTGCTAAACTGTTTAACCAACACACAGGTAAAAATCAACACATGGATGGCAGCAAACAACATTAAGGCAAGGAAAAAACAAATTGGTAAAGAAATTAAGTTACACAGTAACTATACTTGGGTAAACAAATTTCATGTTAGTACCCATCATAATTTGGGTTACTGACACTGCATCCTAACTAAGACACGTTATTCAAAACAATCTTGCTCAGTGTCTGGATACCAATACTACATCTTGACACAGCAATATTTGATAAATTGGTTACTGTCCACTCAGTAAGTTATCTGGAAAACAACATCCATAAAATCATCTGGATCTACGTCAACTACTTGTGTATCACGGGGCAATGCAATCCATGGAACAGAGAAGTTAGCCATTCCTGTTTTCTGCCCAGCAAAGCTTACCAGAGGGTGACAACCAGCAGTAAGGGTGACCCATAACATGAATGCACATTATTGGGTAGTAACTAATTACAAGACATTTATATATATATAAAGACCTCATTTGTAGTGCCACTACTCCAAATTTCTGTTTTACTTCTCATATACATAATACTGTGGAACACACTATAACAATGCCTATCGCAGTATTTCAAAACACTCAACCAGGTGATAACTGTAATTGCCCTATTAGGAATGTGTTTCTATCTGTGTCACCAAAGTAAAAGGTCAGAGTACAACATCAGACTGGAAAAACATGGTTATGCTTGGACATAAGGTGGTGTCATATGTACACATACATACTATACATATATACTCATATATGCTAAAAATATATATCCATATTATTCATATATATTATTTGGGAGTGCCTCTAAGGCTCAGTCATAATACTACATTCCTCAGGCATGGTCCCAGGCCCAGCATTCCCAGGCCCACCACAAAGGACTTGAAAGAATTGGATAATAAAATCTGTCTACCTGTCATACGAGGAATGTGCAGACTAAGGACAGGGGGCATGAGTGTATGGATGGTAAAATGAGGTAACCACATAACAGTGTTTAGCCCACTGGGTTATCTTCAGTCCATGCATTATGCTTTTCCGGGATGATGGGTAAACATCCTCTCCATAAAAAGACAAAAAGTGTGGGAATGTAGTAAGATGAGGCCCTGAGACATAAACCCTTGGTATCAGAGGCCCGGTATGATGCGTAACCTGTTTGTACCTGTGTATAAGAATGCATCCCTGAGTGGACGTCTTTGTCTGGCCTGGGGGCAGTGGAGAGTCCTGCCACTGATTGAGCTGGTCCATTGTCAGGGGCACATATTCATAGTATGTCCTGTAGAGTCTGCAGGGAACTATTAATGTGCTTTATTTGACAATAAACCTGCCCGGGTGCCTTCGTACCTTATTAGAGTCTGTGGTCACTGGGGGTTCTCTCAGGGTCTGCTGTGCCAGCGATCTGCAGAGCCAGGGCAGCACACAGAGGGAACACACGCACGCAGTTGACAGAGCAGAGCACCACACTACACCGGTGGCATCTGACGACAGATGGATTCCCTCCACCAGCATTTCTGGTCACCAAATTAATTCTATGTGTAACATACAAAATGGCAAAATAAGTTACTCATATAAAAAACTCAGTGGCCTAATAGTCAGATGAATGCATAGAATACTTTCCCCTTTAAAGGCTGTCAGTTCATTTCTGTCTTTGCCAGAAGCCAGTTCTTTGCTTTTGTCCATCTGGTCACTGCCGGGGTTTTTTTTTTCAACTGTCATTGGAGGATAAAGACTCAGTTAAGTCAAATTCTGACTACACCTTTTTGTGTTAATTAATATTATTGTTTGTTTAGCACTGACAAGTCCACCTGGGTTAAGAACTACAACACATTAGAGGTGATGACACCTTCTGTCCAACCTTCTGGCTACCTATTAATTTACTTTCCATGGATGAACACTTCCTTTTTCTAACCACTCCAACTACATGCTGCCCCACATGCATGAAAGGAGCTCCCATCAACATCTGCAAAGCTACCTCAGTATCATCCTTCAAACTCTCCTTTTCTCTTAGGCCACTGGTATGGCGAAGTCTCTGCCTATCATGCTGATAGTCAAAATAATCTCGTCTGTATCCATCTGTTGTCTCTTATTTTATACTTTGATTTTAAGATCTTTGGGGTAGGGACCATCTTTTTGTTCTGTATTTGTGAAGTGCCTAGCACAATGGGATCCTGGTCCACAAGCAGTGCTCCTAGACATATGGTAATACAAATAATAGTAGTATTCTGTAACCAGCTAACAAGCAGCACATTGGTTCAAGTTATCCAGGCCTCTCTCATAAAAGCTGAATCAAGTTTCAATAAAATAGTCACACAGGTTTTAATTCCAACTTCTCACGCTGGTTTCCATTAAAATTGCCCCATCTGAACAGTTAGTTTGGTCCATTTTAAGGCTATTTAGGTGCTTAAATGATACATCAAAACATCTTAACATCTCAGTAAAATAATCTTAATGTTCTAGGAAGCCATAGAGGTTAAAAGATTGTAAAGCATTGCACAGCATATAGAGAACTTACAGCATGAAAAAGCATGGCCAATTCTTCTTCAGCTATCCCTCGATGCAAGGATGATGTCTGCCAAGGGGGTTCATTGGGGGATTTTTAGGTAGCTGAGGAGCCCAATTTGTGCCCTGCAGATTTTCCCATAGAAGTGACAGGCGTGATCTTGGAGGAGACATAGTTGTTGGCTAGAGTGTTGTGCCCTTTCTGTCCTCCTTTGTTGCTTCTCTGTCTCATGAGCATGTCTGTTCTCCTTAAAGTGGGCTGTGGCTTGGTGTATCGTGTGGCACCACTGTGTTCTGGTCCACGCCGAGTCCTCTCAATTTGTTGGGTTGATGCCTCCCTTTTTAAGGTGTACTTTCAGTATGTCTTTGAAGCTGCCCTCCACGAGCCCTTCTTCCCTGACTTAACTGAGAAAAGAGTACTTGCTTCGGGAGGTGTCAGGCATAAGTACACAGGGGACAGCTCAGCAGAGTGGTATTTCATGACCTGTGCTTTTACACTGCTGATGTTGGCTGCAGAGAGAATGCTGATGTAGTGCGCCGATCTTCCCAGCTGATCCCAAGAATCCTCATGAGGCAGTGCTGCTGGAACCACTCCCGCTGCTTGAGATGTCGTCTGTAGGTTATCCAGAACTCACACACATAGGGAAGGGTGGGGATGACAACTGCCTTGTAAACCAAGATCTTGGTGCCTGTTTGCAGATCCCTATCATTGAAGACTTGTTTGAGTAGTCTTCCAAAGGATGTGCTGGCATAGCGGCTCCTGTATTCGATTTGTGTGTCAATGCTAGCTGTTTGGGAGAGGTGGCTGCAAAGGTGTGGAAAATGGTCCACATTTTCCAGGGGTTCTTTGTCAATGGTGATTTGTGGAGTACAAAGAGTAGTTTGTGCAGATGAGGGCTGGTAGAGTACCTTGTTTTTCCCGTTGTTGAGAGAGAGAGAGACCCAGGCTGTGACAGGCATCTGCAAAAAGATTTAGGGTGCTTTGCAGGTCAGCCTCAGTGTGTGCGAGGATGACACAGTCATCTGCATATCTCAGTGATGCCAATTCTTCTGATCTTAGAGTTTGTTTGGAACCATTGTAAATTGAGGAGTTGGCCATTTATACAATACTCAATCCCAATTCCGTAAGGAAGGTGGTCCTGGATGAGAATCAAGATCATGGCAAGGTACATAGAGAAGAGTGTTGGAGCTATGACACAGCCCTGCTTGATACCAGTGCGAATTAAAAATGGTTCAGTCTCTGAGCCGTTGCACAGAATGGTGCATTCCCTCATAGAATAGTCTGATGATGGAAATGAATTTCTGTGGGCAGCCAAACCTACACAGCACCTTCCATAGGGCATCACGATTGATAGAGTCAAAGGCCTTGGTTAGATTGATGAATGCCATGAGCAGTTCCTGGTGTTGCTCTCTGCACTTCTCCTCAATCTGTCATGCCACAAAGATCATGTCGGTTGTGCCTCGAGATGGCCTGAAGCCACACTGTGATTCAGGGAGAAGTTCCTTGGCAAGGGGGAGGAGGCAGTTTAGTAGGATCCAGGCAAGGATCTTCCCTGCAATGGAGAGGAGGGCAATACCTCTATAGTTTCTGCACAAAGATTTGTTCCCTTTCTTAAATATTGTAACAAAGTTGGTGTTCTTAAAGTCAGGTGGAATTTCTTCGCAGGTCCAGATTTTATCAAGGAGATGGCAAAGACTGGGCTGGAGCATTGTTCCACCAGTTTTTAAAACCTCAGCTGGGATGCCGTCTGGGCCTGGTGCCTTGTGATTTTTTGTCTTGGTGATGGCATGCCAGGCTTCCTCAAAAGATGGAGGATCAGCAAGATGTTCCATTGCTGAGCATCGGGGAATGAACTCGATGGTGTCTTCAGAGACTGAATTCGTGGTTTAGTAGGCTCTCAAAGTGCTCCTTCCAGCTTTGTTTAATGGCTGCATTGTCCTTGAGGAATGTAAGGGGATTGGGTCTTTGGAGCTTAACCCATATATAGCTTTTGTCGCTTGATAGAAGCTTCTCATGCCATCTTGGTCTACAAAACTCTGGGTCTCAGAGGTCTTCTCTTGCCATCATTTGTTTCTGATGTCATGTAGCTTCCTTTGGATGTCCGCTTTGAGCAGGTGATTGGCCTCATGTTTTTGTTAATTAGAGGAATCATTTTGCTAGTTACAGAATGCATTTCTTTTCTATTGAATTAATGCTAGGATTTCTTCGTTGTTTTCATCAAACCAGTCTTGGTGCTGATCAATGGAATAGCCTATGGTTTCAGCACATGCATTGTGAATGTTATATTTAAGCTGATCCCGGTGCTCTTGAATGTCAGTGATGTTGTCAGACAAGTTAGAGAGTTTCTTAGACAAGTGTTGCTGGAAAGTCTCACAGCAGGCTTGGTCTTTAAGTGCTTTGATGTTGCACCACTTTCACTTAGTCTTACAATTACATGAATGGTTTGAGCATGCTTTTCAATATATGGACTTTTTTGTATAATTTGCAAAACTTGAGTTATACGTTGTTGTCTATAGACAACTTCAAAGGCTTGAAGACTATTGGAACTTTTTTATAAGCAGCCTGACTGATGCTTAATATGCCTCTTTGGCAGGTCAAAGAGCTATTGTTTCTGTAGATCAAGTATTAATTCCATTCTACAGTTTCTAAAGTTGAATCCTTACAGTTCCCTGTAAGCTGCGCATTTGGGTGGCTGCCCAAGAGAGATTCAAGTGCCGCCCAATTGATTAGCAGAGCGCGTACATCTGGCAGTGTGTGTTCAGGTGCCTCTCCCCTGCTGCTTTGCAGCCACATTGCTCTGTCCTGCATCTTCTCCCAAGAAGCCCCTGCTGGCTGTGCAGAGTGGTGGGGAGAGGTCAGGGGGAGCAAGGTGCTGATGTCAGGGTGTCCCCCTCCCCCCATCCCATCTCTGCAGAGCAGGGGAGGGGGGACAGCCTGTCTCAGGAGGACTCGGAGCTGCTGCGGTCTGAGGTCGGAACAGTGATTGAGTGCCTTTCTTAAAGAGACAGCACATGGTTTCTGAGAGATCCCCAGCAGCCAGCTCACCCAGTCTCTCTGTCTGCATGTGTGTGAGAGACAGACAGACAGACAGACACACACACACACACACACACACACAAACTCTCTCTCTCTCCCCATGTACCCCATCTCTGCAGAGCAGGGGAGACAGGGTTCAGGACAGGTTTCAGTGAGTGCCTTAAACAGCATACGGCATCTCTCAGAAACTTCCTCAGTAGCCAGCATACAGACCGTCTCTCTCTCTCTCTCTCTCTCTCTCTCACACACACACACACACATACAGTCTCTTGCACACTCACCTCCCAACACATACCTGTATTATTATTGTTGTTACTTCTTGGTGTAGAAAGATGAGGCCCTGAAACATAAACTCTTGTGTCAGAGGCCCAGTCTGAGGCCTGAAGCCTGAACCAAAGTACTTCCAGGCATTGCTCCACTTAGGAAGGAAAAATCAGTTTCACACATACAGAGTGGGAGGAGACTGTCTAGGAAGGAGTACGGCAGAAAGGGATCTAGGGGTTATAGTGGACCACAAGCTAAATATGAGTCACAATGTGATACTGTTGCAAAAAAAGCAAACATGATTCTGGGATGTATTAACAGGTGTGTTGTGAGCAAGACACGAGAAGTCATTCTTCCGCTCTACTCTGTGCTGGTTAGGCTTCAGCTGGAGTATTGTGTCCAGTTCTGGGCACCGCATTTTAAGAAAGATGTGGAGAAATTGGAGAGGGTCCAGAGAAAAGCAACAAGAATGATTAAAGGTCTTGAGAACATGACCTATGAAGGAAGGCTGAAAGAATTGGGTTTGTTTAGTTTGGAAAAGAGAAGACTAAGAGGGGACATGATAGCAGTTTTCAGGTATCTAAAAGGGTGTCATAAGGGGGGGGAGAAAACTTGTTCACCTTAGTCTCTAAGGATAGAAAAAGAAGCAATGGGCTTAAACTGCAGCAAGGGAGGTCTAGGTTGGACATTAGGAAAAAGTTCCTAACTGTCAGGGTACTTAAACACTGGAATAAATTGCCTAGGGAGGTTGTGGAATCTCCATCTCTGGAGATATTTAAGAGTAGGTTAGATAAATGTCTATCAGGGATGGTCTAGACAGTATTTGGTCCTGCCATGAGGGCAGGGGACTGGACTCGATGACCTCTCGAGGTCCCTTCCAGTCCTAGAATCTATGAATTGCTAAGCAAAAGCTGGGCTGTGAGCCAGAGGCAGGCCCCACTCACAGAAGTTAGCGAAAAGAGGGTTGTTAGAAGCAGGTGCATTCACATATAAGTGCTAATAAGAGGAACTTGTGCCAAGATGGCACCTGGACAGCCCGATACGAGGACACTCCACAGAGATAACAAGGAACAGGAAGGTGCATCTTAAAGACAGGGTCAAAAGGACAGCATGATGGATAGATCTGGTTGTTTGAAACACGATCAAAGGGGGAGACAGCACCCTAATAAGCCAAGGGGCTGTACCTCAGTAGGAATGAGTAATCTGTCCTGTAACTGTATAAAAGTAGGTCCTGGAGTGCACATCTTTGTCTGGCTTAGGGGGCAGTGGAAAGTCCCGCCACTGACTGAGCCGGTCCATTGTCAGGGGGCACAAATTCGTAGTATGTCTTGTAGAGTCTACGGGGAACTATTACTGTGCTTCGTTTGACAATAAACCTGGCTCGGGTGCCTTTGTATCTTACTAGAGTCTGTGGTCTTTGGGCGTTCTCCTACGGGGTCTGCCGTGTCAGCTATCTGCGCAGAGCTGGGGCAGCACACAGAGGGAACACATACGCAGCCGACTGTTAACATCAAACAAGAGCAGAGCACCACACCGGTAGCTACTGACACCACATGGTACTTCCTGTAATGCACATATATTCTCTATAATTTTATTCTTTCAAAGTGTGTTATTTTAGTTTTTTGACGGGTCTGTGCATTTTATAATTTTTATCTCTTACACTTACATTTAATTGTTTGAGTTCTAGTGAGTTCTAAAATGCCTAACCTGTCCTGGCTGGAGTAATTATCCTATTGTAACTTTTTAATATATATCTAGGTTTTTTGTTTCTACCGGTAGCGCACATACCTCAGTGCACATAAAATTTATTCCGCACATGGATGAAAAAATTAGAGGGAACATTGACCCTACCTGTCAGTTTCCTTTTTCTTTCAGTGTTGTAGCCCTGTCAGTCCTAGGATATGAAAGAGACTAGGTGGGTGAGGTAATCTCGCTTATTGGACCAAAGTTTTGAGCTCTGAAGAAGAGCTCTATGTAGTTTGAAAACTTGGTCTGATACAAGATATTACCTCACCCAACTTCTGTCTCTCAATTTACTTTTGTAAATTTTCATTTAAGGAGATTTAGTTACCAGGAAGAAACTCATTACACAACCCTCTCCATAAAATTCAATCATCCTGAGCTACCAAACAGATTGACTGAATCAGAAATGATTTTACATAATTATTTTTTACAAGTGAGGAGGCACAATAATTACTCTCATAAAAAGTCTTCTCTGACAAATCCTCATCTTTTTAAGCATGATTCTTTATTAGGATAATTTTCCAACAAGATGCAAAGGTGGTATTTAACCAACTATAATGCTCTCTCTTTTCTCCAGGGAGAATATGTTGTAACCACATATTCTAGTCAGCTCATATGAGCTACTACTATGACTGGCGCCCACTAATCTGCATCAACATAAGGGATCTAAGATTTCTTTATCCAAAAATGTATTACTATTCCAGTGGAGAGATGTGCACAACCTGTTTGGTTGAGTCTGTTTTGGCTTCTAAATGTATAACATTTCTGATTGTAGGCACTTGTTACCCTGTGGCCCATTTTTATGGAAAACTCCTAGTGTCACTTTTTTGTAATATCAAATGCTTTGGGATTCTCATCTTGTATTCAAATACATGGAGAGTGGTTGTACATTGTTGCTTTCTATATTACTGCTTTTATTTATTTTTTTGAAAATCAGCAACAATTGGATGTGCTCACCCTGTGCCCTATTAAAGGTATACTGACTTCTAAGCTCCTCAGAGTCAAAGGACATCATTCTCCACTGCTTTAACCCTTATGGAAACATTTATACCCACACCAAATAAATGCAAAGTGTACAATGCTAAAAAAGCAAAATGGCAGTTTTACATCCACTTTGCAGATATGAATGACTGTGCAAAGCAGAGGAGAATCAGGTCAAAAACACCTTCCCTGTCCGTGTTTTTCCTTTGTCACACTAAATGTATGGAAAAATGGCATATTTCCTGCTAAGTCTCGAGATCTTCAGTATAATCATCTTTGACAATCAAAGATAGACCCTACCTAGTATCTGTATAAAGACTACTACATTATCTGGTATGGTCATTGGTGTACTTATTGCTGTATAAAAGCTTTTACAGACAATCTTTTCCAGTAGAACAGTCCTCTCATTTATTGGACCCTGATTCTACATCCAGACATTTTACTCAATACATTTGTGTAATCCAAACTTCTGAACACACGCAGAGAGCCAGAAGTTCTCATATTATGACAATCACCAGACTTCTTTTTGCAAAGTAACAGATACAGTAAATTGGTATTTAAAGTCATCACAACTATAGGTTTTCCCATCTACTTACTCATTCTTAACTTGCAGGGAGCCAAGAGGGGGAAATTATTAGTTCTCTTTTCTATTACTAATCATCCAA